CACTGGAAGTCTTTAAGAAGATATTGGATAGCCATTTGTCTGAAATGTTATAGGGTTTCCTGCCTAGGCAGTGGGTTGGACTAGAAGACCTCCAAGGTCCCTTCCAACTGTGCTATTGTATTGTAATAAATAGGAATACTAAAAATGGTTTAAAATTGACAAAGGTGGGAAGGTGCCCGTAGGGAGGAGGTGGGGTTTTATCTCTGACTCCGCCCCATTGGGGCCTCAGGCCAGTGAGCAGAGCCTTTCAGGTCCTTTCAGAAGGCCAAAAGGGTAGATATGGATTTCAGTTGGGATGGCCCAAAGCTCCAGGAGCCAGGGCAGAAAAGGCTTTTTTCCTCCGCCAGCTGAATTCCTTGATCGATGGGGTCGGCAACAGGCCCCTTATGCCAGCTGTGTGGGACAGGTCAACCCCATTGGGATGAGAAAGTTTTTCAGGTAACCTGACCCCCCTGGTGTGATATTTAGCATCAGGTTGGAGAAGAATTGGCTGGGATTTAATAGAAGACTAGCTTTTCAACATGTGGCCCTCATATCTTTGCCTTGTGCTCTTAAGCTGTGTGGTTCACAAGTTGGGGAAAGGGAAATTGGAGTCTTAGAGAATGCACAGGAATTTGTCTTTGAACTTTCAATTTTGAAACCAAGGAAAGGAAGATACAAGGTTAACCTATTAATACATATTTTGTTTGTCTTTTTCTTTGTTTTATTTTACTGTTATCTTTAGGTTACTAGTGAGTGCTTCCCAAGATGGAAAATTAATTATTTGGGATAGTTATACAACAAACAAGGTACATGTTTTTTTTTTAATATATTCAGTTTGAACATTTTATGTGTCTCTTGCTGATGGGCTTTATTTTTAGATTCCACTGCTAATTTGTATTTATTTTTTAAATTTTTTCTGTCCCCCATCCAAACCTCTTTATTAGCCCTGATATTTCTTGATGGTTTCCGGGCTTCAATACAATTTCTTGTCTTATTATTTTTTTCTATTTGAAGTATAAGTCTCTTGTTTTTTTCAAAGCATGTCATAGAATATTTTGTTTCATTAATCTTACAAATTCTGGTTCAAACACTTGGGGATACAGTAGAAGCTCTGGTCAGGACCATAATTTGTTCCATAACTTTGGTCACAACCCGATTTGGTCGTGAGCCGAACCTAATTTCTGATTATTGTTGAAAAAATATTTCCTAGCAGTGGAAGCAAAAGTTTTGTGCAGCCAATGGCGCGGAAGGGGAAACTGGCCACGGCCATGTTTGATTGCCACCTGAATGGCCAGATTCAAAAATGTTGTGAATGTGTTGGTCAGAACCCTATTTGGTCATGGTCAGAAGCGTTTGTGACCAAAGGAGCTACTCTATAAACTGCTGGATATTTGTTGAAATGTATGTCGAAGTGCTTTGAGGTGTCAAGTTGTTCACGTTGGAAAGCAAAAAAACCCTACTGTTCTTCAACAGCTACCTTGGTATTCATTTGATAGCGTGCAATAATAGTTGTGCCCCAGTGGTGGGTTACTAACCGGTTTACTACCGGTTTGCTTATGCTTGCAAATGTTTGCACATGTGCAGAAGCGTCCAGGCGGGTGGGCAGAGCCTCCCGCCGCTTCCACAACCCGTTCAGCCGAACCAGGAGCAATCCACCTCTGTTGTGCCCTATAATGTCTAAGATACTTTCAACTGAACCATTCAGTGTCCCTTCAAATGCAAATATGCACCTTTTTAATGCTCTCCAGAGCCAGTAAAAGGAGACCTGGGATATGGCAAGTTCAGCGGGATTGAGACAAGTCCTGGGGAGGCAGGTCATTCTCATGGCACAATTTGTGGTTAGCCATTAATTCCAGTTTTTTTCTTTCTTATACTCATTTGAAGAGTCTGGGGTAGTATGAGATTAATTCACTGTTCTTATATCAGAAAGCACTGGATGTTTTTTCCAAAAAGATAGGTCGTTTTGCCATTGGAGAGTTTGCAAAACGTTATTCTTTGTCCTCTTTAAAACCGGTTGCAATGTCAGCTAGTATTTTTAACCCATTAAACTGTTGTACTGTTTGTTCAGTGCCATTGTGACAACCAAAAAGGATATAAACTTGCTTAGCTCGGAGCAGATCGAAGCTCCTTCTGAAAACTGGGCTGGAATCTTAACATTTTGAAGGAAGGTTTTGCGTTGATTTTGTAATGCCGCTACCCACACATTAAATGAGCGCAAAGGTTCAGTTCATTACAGATAGTCCTCAACTTAAAAATCAGTCACTTAGCGACATTCCGAGTTACGTTGGACCTTCCCTTGAAGGGTACTTATGACCTGGATCCAAAGTTCTGATGGTCTTCCACCATTCCCTCCTTTCCATGTGGTCATGTGACTTTCAGATGCTTGGCACCCAGTTCGTGTTTGTAGTGTCCCCCAATCACATGACTCCCTTTTACTAGCATAACTTTTTTGTTTTGCTGAAAAAAGCATTGACTTCATTTTTGGCAAACCCGGTGTCAACTTCGAAATGGTTCTGGCCTGCTGCAGCCATGTTTTCGTTTCTCAGGTTGCCACACAATGTGTGTGTGTGTATGGAGGGGGGTATCTGGAATGTCAGATCACACCATCCCATGGGAACCAAGGACATCTCAACAGGTGCTGGCCAGAGACTGAGGGAAGTTGCCAAGGAGATGCCAGAACACCTAATTGGAGAATGAGACCTGTGACCACAAAGGGAGGGGATCTTGGAGCTCTAGTGGACAACCATTTAAATAGGAGCCAGCCGTGTGCAGCAGCTGCCAAAAAAGCCAACACAGTTCTAGGCTGCATAAACAGAGGGATAGAATCAAGATCACATGAAGTGTTAATACCACTTTATAATGCCTTGGTAAGGCCACACTTGGAATACTGCATTCAGTTTTGGATACCACGATGTAAAAAAGATGTGGAGACTCTAGAAAGAGTCCAGAGAGGGGCAAAAAAGATGATTAGTGGACTGGAGACTAAAACACATGAAGAACGGTTGCAGGAACTGGGCATGGCTAGTTTAATGAAAAGAAGGACTAGGGGAGACATGAGAGCAGTCTTCTAATATCATAGGGGTTGCCACAAAGAAGAAGGAGTCAAACTATTCTGCAAGGCACCTGAGGGCAGAACAAGAAGCAATGGGTGGAAACTAATCAAGAAGAGAAGCAACTTAGAACCGAGGAGAAATTTCCTGACAGTTAGAAGAATTAATCAGTGGAACAATTTGCCTCCAGAGGTTGTGAATGCGCCAACACTGGAAGTCTTTAAGAAGATGTTGGATAGCCATTTGTCTGAAACGGTATAGGGTTTCTTGCTTAGGTAGGGGGTTGGACTAGAAGACCTCCAAGGTCCCTTCCAACTCTGCTATTGTATTGTATTATATTGAATGATCTATTCTTATATTATACTGAAACCACAGGAACTATTTAGAGCTGGTTTTGTTTTCATCCGTGCCGAAATGTACTCAATAAAACAGTTCTTTGAGAAAAGTTGAAAGTCTTGGAGTGCTGAATTGGTTTGATTTCATCAGTGGGAACCTTGACACCCAACCTACATCAAACCATTGGTTTGCCTTACAACTGCAGTACGACTGCCGCAAAAACTGCGAGCCTCCCGATCTACGACTGTAATGGAATGGTCATAACTTGAGAACTACCTGTATCTGCTTCTCCCTGTGCGATGGGAGTTGTTCCCATGGTGTCAGTTAATAATCTGCACTAGGGGGTTTTTTTTGCATCTGATTTTTGAAGAGTACAATTCCTCATGGTGTTTCCCCCCCTTTCCCCCCCCCAATTTTATTTTTAAAGATGCACGCTATTCCTTTGCGGTCTTCCTGGGTAATGACCTGTGCATATGCGCCATCTGGCAATTATGTCGCTTGCGGTGGATTAGACAACATCTGTTCTATCTACAATCTGAAGACACGGGAGGGCAACGTACGAGTGAGCAGAGAACTCCCCGGCCACACCGGTCAGCTGCCCTTCTCTTTCTTTTTGTTTCTTTGACCATTTCTAATGAAAGTAGAATACCCTTAAACTTTATCTTCTTACCCTCTAAAAGCAAGGGAGTCGGCTAGCGACCCCCAGGGGAGAGCCTTCTCTGTGGGAGCGCCTTCCCTCTGGAAAGTTGGCTTTTCCAGCAAGCCGGCCTGGCCTGAATAAAATAAAATAAATGATTGATTATTGTTAATTTTAATCGAATTTTTAAAATGTTATTGTTAATCTTAATTGGGTTTGTTTTTGGGATATTTTATCTAATTTTTTTTAAACTTTTGTAATATGTGTTTGTTTTTTTTTTTGTTTTTTTTTTTGATGTTGTACGCCGCCCTTTGTCCTTTGGGAGAAGGGCGGCATAAATCCAATAAACAAACAAACAAACAAACAAGTTGGGGAAAAAATTGCATATATTTTACCTCCTTGGGATTGCTTTTAAAAGGAACATCCCCCCCCCCCCAAAAAAAAAGAATAAGGAACACATTTTCTAACATAGAATTTGGTCCCTTGATTCTGTGTAAAATAACTATTGTGAATATTGGATTTGGGGTTTATTGTTTTTTTTTTTTTTTTGTTTTTTTTTTTGCTGTTGTACGCCGCCCTTTGTCCTTTGGGAGAAGGGCGGCATAAATCCAATAAACAAACAAACAAACAAACAAGTTGGGGAAAAAATTGCATATATTTTCCCTCTTGGGGTTCTCTTTAAAAAGAAACCCCCCCCCCCCCAAAAAAAAAAAGAATAAGGAACACATTTTCTAACATAGAATTTGGTCCCTTGATTCTGTGTAAAATA